CAGGAGAAGCAGCAGCCACAGCAGTGTCTGGTAAAAGCAGCACAAGTCGTTGAAGGCTGGGTGCAGTATGTGCTTGCAGCCACTAGAGGGCAGCAGTGTAACACTGATAGTCCTGACTGCAGCAGCCACATCATGCAGACCATAGACTGTATATTATATTAGAGCTGCACATCAGTCTGTTCACTTTGTCTCTCATCGTTCAAGGATTCACGCTCACAGTAACCTGTCTTTGGATATTTGGACTTTACATTTTTTGATCCTCAGAAACAAGTTGCCGTTCACCAGCTGCACACATGCTGACTGACTGTTTGGTGCTGGTCTTTTCTCACCATCATGTCTCACCAATACATCTTATTGATCCCTTTGATCAGTGATCAGAACTTTCAGTTGTGACATGTTGTGCTTTATTATTATTTATGATAATTTCTGATTTGCCTGAGTTTTTTATTGCATGAAATGTGGATACTTTGAAAGATGTTTGTGAAATTTTAGATTGATATATCAAATAATTTCAGACATTTAATATATTTTTTTAAAAATTGGCTATTGACACACTTTAAGCAGTTTTTTGTACGTTGACATTAGAAGCTGGTTGAATGAAAATACCTCAAATAAGAAATATAAAAAAGAGCATGAAATTTGCACTGTTATTTTTCATAATGTCATTGATTCAGAATCTGCAATATCAGACAGGTAGAAAAAAATCATTTCTGATCATGGATGAGTGGAATTATGGAGCAAAAACTGAAGCCTGACGTTTCAACAGCAGCTGAGGTTTGAATAATGAAAAAAAATGTTGGCTGTGTTGATTTTATTCTAAATCACTAAAATACCACGAAAGTCCATTTTTATTTTCTATATTTGTTTTCTTTTTTATTACAGTTTAAAAAAATTCATATCAACATAACGATGAAAAACATTATCTATTATATTATTATTAGTTTACTTGAGTTTATTGGTTCTCTAATGATTAATATGTTTGTTTCTTCCCTTAGTGTCAGTATTAAATTATATTTCTGAGGTTTTATTGCTTCTTGAATCTGTGTTTTTTTCATCATTTATTCATTTTTAATTGGCACCAACAGATATTCTGCAGCCAGTTTATCATTATTCTTGTATTTATACCATCAGAGTGAATTTACAGCTCTGAGTTGAAGATTTGACCTGTTTCTCTCACAGATGAAGAACACAGATGCTTCCTGCAATGATTCTTGCAACCNTAAAGAGGAGACAGACATAGTGACGTCATGCAAGATATAGAATTTCTCAGTGTGTGAAAGGAACTTCCCACAACTAAGAAACCCCCAAGCCACAAGAAGGACTGTTCCAAGATGGTATCTACATATAGACTAAACACCCAACAACAACAGGGAAAGTCAATCAGAATGAACAAGACTGAAGGCAGTGCCAGGAACGCTGTTAAATAATGAAAAGAAGGTCCGAGGAGTCACTTGAGGAATTCCAATGAGGGTGCAAATAGAGCAATTAATGGAAAATGTACCTGGAGGGAAAGTGACGGAGGTGAGGTGTTAGCAAGCAACTAGAGATGGTGAAAAATGTGATAGTTTATCAGTAATGTTGGTGTTTGAGGAGGAAAAACTGCCATCCAAAGTAAATATTGGATTTATGAGATATGAGGTCCGGCCTTATCTCCCTCCACCTCAGAGGTGTTTCAGACGTATGGACATGTAGCAGCTGTTTGTAAGGGAAAGTAACGCTGTGGAAGATGTGCTGGTGAACATCCATCCATTATGATTTTAAGGTGATTTTAATCTGTAAAGCACTTTGAATGACATTATTGTATGAAAAGCGCTTTAGAAATAAAGATTGATTGATTGATTGATTATCTCTACACAGCTTAATCCTCACTGAGTCGCGGGGGGGCTGGAGTCTATCCCAGCTGACTTAGGGCGAAGGCAGGGGACACCCTGGACAGGTCGTCAGTCTGTCATAGGGCTACAATCAGAGGCATCCCGTCAGGACAAGCAAACCAGGCAATTGCCAGGGAGCCCCATCAGAAAAGGGAGCCCACAAATGGCAACACATGGAAATTTATCTTAATTTAAGATAATAGCTCATAAGTGTTTATTTTATTTATTTGTTTTTGTTGTCTCAACACAACTAAAGTCCAACTACAACAAAATGTGGTTTATGTTGCATTAAACTCCAGGTGGATGCCACTGGGAGTGTGTGGAAGCCTTCAAAGAAGTCCACTTTTGTGGTGCCGCTATAGCTCACCTGGTTGAGCTGGCATCCCATGTACAGGGACTATAGTCCCTGATGCGGAGGTCATGAGTTCAAATCCCACTCATGGTGCTTTTCCACAGGTCCTTCCCCCATTTGTCTCCCTCACTTTCCTGTCTCTCTCAGAAAAAAAGAAGTCCACTTTTCTAAACTGAGCGTCTGTACCATCTGTCCATCCATTTTCTATACAGCGCTTTATCCTCTGTAGTGTTGCAGGATGGCTGGAGCCTATCCAGCTGACTTTGGATGAAGGCAAGGTTCACCTGGACAGGCAACTCGTCCATCACAGGGTCAACAGAGGCAGGCAACAATGCGCACTCACATTCAAACCTACGGGCAGTTTAGAATCACTAATTAAACTTGCATCTTGTGACTGTAGGAGAAACCAAGATGACCAAGGATGTGTCTTTCTCCACCAGCTGCTTTATCTTTGAAACACACCCAGCTTGTTTTATGCATCAGCCAGGGACAGACTGACAGAGTCACTGAAATTATGAAAGTACTACTTTTCGCCAATATAGCAAATGCAGTAGTTGCCCATGCCAGTAGGAGCGTCAGCAACACAGCTTCATGATTTACTCACATGAATGAAACCACTTGAAATTTTAACTCGCATGCTCTCAATATGTGGTTTCAGTCTGGAGCCCAGCACAGAGGACTGGGACTGTTTGTGCATTAAGCCTTTTAGTTATAAGGAGCTGATAAGCCGATGATCAACTTTACTGTGCCAAACTCATTTTAGTTTGATCTAAAAGCTTCAAAAGCTGCCTTAAACACAGTCATTGTAATATTTTATGACCTTGAATCATGCTCTTAAGAACAGATATTTCAACACAACCATCAAGACATTTCCTCCACAGCCTGATTCAGATGAGCTAAACAGAATTTAACTAGACTGAAATCATTACCTGTCAGTATGTGGCTACAGCAGTAAGGGTGGAGGAGAAGGGCCACACCAGCAGGAGGCGCTGGAGCTGCAGGAGTCACGGTGTACAGGTGCGTCGGCTATGACATCATTCTGGTGGGTGGAGACGGCGGATTTGAACCCGGAAGCTGGACAGCATGTAACAGGTGCAGATGAAACCTGGATTGAATTAGAGGAGAGACTGGTGGACACCTGGAGGAGACAGGACGAGGCGACGCTGGGTGTGAGGACTTCTGGAGCTGGAGCAGGATGAAGGTGATTAGATCTCAGATACTCCTGGAGGAGCTGGAGCCAGTGGACCGCCTGGATGGGTGGAGCTGGGACGCCCTAATGTTTCTGATGTGGATTTGAAGTTATGAACTGAAGTAGCCGAAGCAGATCAAAAGTTCATGATTACAACGTCACCTTGAGGTTCGATGTGACTGTTAGAAGCTGTTGCTGGATTTTAATGTTGTTGAGGAGGATGAAAGGGATTTTCCAGAGTGACAGCGCTCCGGCAGACAATCGAGATTCAGGACATGCCATCGTTAACTCTGCAGACTGACCCGCTTTGGTTTGAATGCTACAATCCTACATTGAAGATGCATCAGTGTTTTATAACCTGCACGAGGGTTCTCTGAAGACGAGATGAACAGCAGCGAAGATCTACAGATCTGTAGAGGCTGGTGTAGCAGCATGGAGCGAGCCAAATGAATGAAGGCTGCCTTGGTTATAAANTGCTCGTGCACGTTGCCTTCAGAAACGCCTCCAAATCACCATATACAGCAACAACACGCCTCTTTATAAAGCAAGTGAAGATTTATTTTTTTCCTCACCTGTCATCATCATCGTGGCAAAAAGGGCAAAAAAGAGGGACTTTTCTGAAACTGCAATCAAGGTGCTCACTGCCCATAAAAGACAAATGACGCAACTGGAGGAGGACGAATTAATACCCAACTTTCACCCAGTGGATAATCCTGATCACCTACAGATGACATGTTTTAATAACCATACTATGTCCAACTAAAAACATTTCAACACTCTGTAACACTTACCAATAAGCCAGTCATCTTCGACAGCTCCTACTTGGAGACGAACCCACAGAGCTGTTCTGCTCAATGACTGAGTCGTGTGTTCCTCCAGGCCACTGGGTAACAATGTTTGATAGCCACAAATGTGCATCGCAAAGTATTTGTACGTTGATTTAATGAAACCCTTTTGTATTTACAAAATTCAACTTGTTTAGAGATGCTGCTTTGAATATGATGTGGTCTATGGCTCCACTTATGTCTGGGACTCCAGCGATGGCATGAAGTCCCTGTTTGATTTGGGCTCGTTGGTGATGGCTGTAAGGGAGCTGGATGTAGGCTGGGGCCAGGGGAGTTATGGCATCTAACACTGCCGGCATGATCCTGTTCAGTGATGGCTGGGAAACGTCACATATGTCCCCATCCTCACGCTGTAATGTGCCGGTGGTCAAAATCCCTGAATGCTTTCTATTTGTAGTTTCACTATTCTACCACTAGATTTTGTGCATACACATGGTCAGAGTTGTGCGTATATTTACGCACATTCCTCAGTATAAGTACAAGTTGATAAATTACATAATTTGTGAAGGGATGTTCGTATGCACACTCTACGCACATATCTGTGCGTACGCACTGATGATAAATGAGGCCCCAGGCCTCTGCAGGGCCTTCCCAGAGTCCATGTTGAACAGAGGCTCATCTCTGCTCGCTTTGGTTAACCATTCCAGGCCCTGAATCACATGAGAGAAGAAACAGAAAGTATATGAGCGCTGACAATGAAGATCAGAGCACCTTTATAATATCAACTTTGGAAGCCTAAGGTCAATCTAAAGAGGAGACAGACATAGTGAGGTCATGCAAGATATAGAATTTCTCAGTGTGTGAAATGAACTTCCCACAACTAAGAAACCCCCAAGCCACAAGAAGGACTGTTCCAAGATGGTATCTACAGACAGACTAAACACCCAACAACAACAAGGAACAGCGATCAGAATGAACAAGATTGAAGGCAGTGCCAGGAACGCTGTTAAATAATGAAAAGAAGGTCCAAGGAGTCACTTCAGGAATTCAAACGAGGGTGCAAATAGAACAAATAATGGAAAATGTAACTGGAGGGAAAGTGACAGAGGTGAGGTGTTAGCAAGCGACTAGAGATGGTGAAAAATATGATAGTTTATTAGTAATGTTGGTGCTTGAGGAGGAAAAACTGCCATCCAAAGTATATATGGGATTTATGAGATATGAGGTCCAGCCTTATCTCCCTCCACCTCAGAGGTGTTTCAGATGCCAGAAGTATGGACATGTAGCAGCTGTTTGTAAGGGAAAGTAACGCTGTGGAGGATGTGCTGGTGAACATCCATCCATTATCTATACACCGCTTAATTCTCACTGAGTCGTGGGGGTGCTGGAGCCTATCCCAGCTGACTTAAGGCAATGGCAGGGGTCACCCTGGACAGGTCGTCAGTCTGTCATAGGGCGACACTCAGAGGCATCCCGTCAGGACAAGCAAACCAGGCAATTGCCAGGGAGCCCCATCAGAAAAGGGAGCCCCCAAATGGCAACACATGGAAATCTGTCTTTGTTTAAGATAATAGCTCATAAATGTTTATTTTATTTATTTGCTTTTGTTGTCTCAACACAACTAAAGTCCAACTACAACAAAATGTGGTTTATGTTTCATTAAACTCCAGACTGATGCAACTGGGAGTGTGTGGAAGTCTTGAAAGAAGTCCACTTTTGTGGTGCCGCTATAGCTCACCTGGTTGCGCTGGCGTCCCATGTACAGGGGCTATAGTCCCTGATGCGGAGGTCATGAGTTCAAATCCCAGTCATGGTGCTTTTCCACAGGTGTCTCCCCAACTTTCCTGTCTCTCTCAGCTGCACTCTCAGAAAAAAAGAAGTCCACTTTTCTAAACTGAGCGTCTGTACCATCTATCCATCCATTTTCTATACAGCGCTTTGTCCTCTGTAGTGTTGCAGGATGGCTGGAGCCTGTGCAGCGGACTTTGGATCAAGGCAAGTTTCACCTGGACAGGCAACCAGTCCATCACAGGGTCAACAGAGGCAGGCAACAATGCGCACTCACATTCAAACCTACGGGCAGTTTAGAATCACTAATTAAACTTGCATCTTGGGACTGTAGGAGAAACCAAGATGACCAAGGATGTGTCTTTCTCCACCAGCTGCTTTATCTTTGAAACACACCCAGCTTGTTTTATGCATCAGCCAGGGACAGACTGACAGAGCCACTGAAATTATGAAAGTATTGCTTTTCGCCAATATAGCAAATGCAGTAGTTGCCCATGCCAGTAGGAGCGTCAGCAACACAGCTTCATGATTTACTCACACAAATGAAACCACTTGATATTTTAACTCGCATACTCTCAAAAATGTGGTTTCAGTCTGGACACAGAGGCACAGAGGACTGGGACTGTTGGTGCATTAAGCCTCTTGGTTATAAGGAGCTGATAAGCCAATGATCAACTTTACTATGCCAAACTAATTTTAGTTTGATCTAAAAGCTTCAAAAGCTTCCTTAAACACAGTCATTGTAATATTTTATGACCTTGAATCATGCTCTTAAGAACAGATATTTCAACACAACCATCAAGACATTTCCTCCACAGCCTGATTCAGATGAGCTAAGCAGAATTTAACTAGACTGAAATCATTACCTGCCAGTATGTGGCTACAGC